GTTCGCACCCTCGTGGTGGAGGCTTCGTTCGTGTGCAATTCCAGAGACTGAGGTGGCACCAGCCTTACGCCAAGATTAGTGGTACAAGATTGGACGGCAGAAAAAGCGTTCAATGGGAAAGCATAAAAATCCCATGTCAGATTTATAACATTTTCATTCTATCAGTAAAATATGGAATCACGGAGGCTCTTTTTTTTTTTTGAGAATCAAGAGCTTTATTAATCAATCAACGGATTACATTCCTTCCTTACACAAGTCATAAGAAAGGTGGGAATATAATTTATCCATAAACAACGTTTTCTAGAAGAATTACATTGCTTTGCACACAGATGCGCCAATTCATTCGCCTCCCTCGATATGAATTCCAGACGAAAATCATCAAAATTCCCGCTTAGCTCTTGTATTTCATTCAGAGTGGTAGCTATCTCCGAGCGATCAACACTTAGAGAACCCCACTGTTTCACCACTAGTTGTGCATCAGTTTCAATGATTACCCTCCTGAACCCCAAATCAGAAGCTAGCTGTACACCATCTCTTACTGCAAATGCTTCCATAGCCATAGCTGACATCCCAGTTTCATACCAGAGTGCTTGTGCGCGGATGAGCCTTCCTTCATGGTTGCGAACCCCCAGGCCAGTTCCTCCCTGGTGTGTATGTTTGTCGAAGCAAGCATCCACATTAATCTTGAGAAAAGGTTCCTCTGGTGGTTTCCAACTCTGTACTTCCTTGGCCTGTTTAACTGCTTGTTGCTTGCCCGTTTCAGCAAGATCTACAGCAAAGTCCATAGCCCATTTAACAGCCTGCAACACTGAACGAGTATCCTCGCCGTGCGTCCGTGCGTTTCTCTCAGTCCATACTGCCCATGATCCGCATAAAATGATGCAAGCATCCGACTGTTTCACCTTGAAACCTTCAACTATATCCATCGCCCAGGTCTCCGGATGTAGTGCAGGCAGCTTGACGGATGTGGCATGTTTGATCTCTTGCCAGAAAAGCCTTGCCCAAGTGCAATCGAACAATGCGTGCCTTATGGATTCCTCCTGTCCGCATGCATCACAGAAACTGATTGGTTTGATATGCCTGCTGCATAAGACCCCCTTTGTCGGAATGAATCCCTTAACAACACGCCACCAAAAATTACGGACTTTGGGGGGCACCTGTAGTCGCCATAGTTTCTTCCAGAACAACTTGTTAGGTCCCTCTGACGATGCAGGCACCTCATTATTCCTTCGCGCTGAAACCAACAACTTGTACACTGATCTCACCGAGAAATTACCCAATCTATCTGGGTGCCACGCCCAAAAATCCTCATAAGCCCTACCAAGAGGAATCCTCGCAATCATGGACACATTCGGTTCCACAAAGTTTTCAGCCAGCTTCTCCATGTCCCATTTCCCTGTGTCCAAGTCCATTAGCTCCTCTACAAGTGTTACTGAAGCGGTTGGAAGTCTGACAATTGGCTGTTTGCTATAGCTTTCCGGTACCCACAGATCGTCCCAAATTCTTATCAAACTTCCATCACCCACTCTTTTTATTATTTCCTTACGAAGTGCCTCCCTGCCATGCAAAATGGCTCGCCATGTATGAGAGGAATTACGTTTTTTCCTTGCTTCCATAAAATTGCAGTCATGGAAGTATTTTCCCTTGAGTACTCTTGCACACAAGGAATCTGGATTTGTTAATAACCTCCAACCTTGTTTCGCCAGCATCGCTTGGTTGAAGAGTTGAATGTCTCTAAAACCCATGCCACCTTCACTCTTTGGTACTGCTATATCAATCCACTTCTTCCAATGCATCTTCCGTTTTTTCTCGTCACCTCCCCACCAATAGCGAGCCAAAATATTAGTTATCTTTTTGCACATATTTTTTGATAACCGAAAACAGCTCATAGAAAAGGTTGGAATTGCTTGACAGACTGCTTTCACTTGGACTTCCCTCCCTGCACTATTTAGCAATTGTGGAGTCCAGCCATTACACAATTTCTTGAGTGAAGTAATGATACCTTCGAATTGTGCATCGGTCGATTTACCCAACGCCGTTGGGAGTCCTAAATATTTTTCCATCAGGGCTTCAGTTGCTATACCCGAAGCATTATGCACACTTTGTTTCCTGTCAGCCTCACAGTTAGCACTGAAGAAAATAGCTGACTTTGCTCTGTTCACGAGCTGACCTGAACCGCGGCGGTATCTTTCCAGAATGTTACCAATTCTGTGAGCACCATCCTCCGATGCTTGAGTGAAAATTAAACAGTCATCTGCAAAAAGGAGATGGGTAATCCAGGGAGCATGGATACCCACTCTAATACCTCTTGATAAGTGCCCTGTACCAACACACTTGAGCATACTAGTTAGGCCTTCAGAGCATAATAAGAACAAATAAGGGGATATAGAGTCCCCTTGGCGAATACCTCTTGAGGGTTTAAAGGTATCTGAGAAAACACCATTCACCCTAACTGAGAAAGTTACTGATTCCACACATGCCATGATTCTATCAATCCACAACTCTGCAAACCCCAGTTTCTGCATAATTGCTCGCAAATATGTCCACTCGACCCGGTCGTATGCTTTGGCCATGTCCAATTTAATTGCACAGTCTCCACTTTTCCCCTTTTTCCTCTTCAGGTAGTTTATACACTCATAAGCCGTCAAGACATTATCAGAGATTAGCTTACCAGGGACAAAAGCACTTTGTTCTTCAGATATAATTTCATCCATGAATGGCCTTAACCGAAGTGCTAAAACTTTTGACGCTATTTTATAAAGTACATTACATAAAGATATAGGTCGAAACTGGGCAAGGCTTTGGGGATTTTTCACCTTCGGTATAAGCACTAGAACCGTAGTATTCACCACGTCCGGCATCACCCCTGTATCAAAGAATTTCCTTATAGCATTACAGACCGAGCTTTTCAGAATATGCCAATGTTTTACGTAAAAACCTGCTGTAAAACCATCGGGTCCAGGAGACTTGTTCGGGTGCATCATAAAAAGAGCCTTCTCCACCTCCATATCTGTTATTGGTGAACAAAGTTGTACATTCATCTCATTTGTGACCTTAGATACGACATAAGCAACCACCTCTTCTGGACGTGTGTCCACTTGCGCGGTGAACAAAGATTGATAGAAGTCGATAGCCGCTTCTTCAATCTCCTTCTGTGATGTGACTGTACTGCCATTTTCCAGCTGCAACGCTTTGATCTTATTGCCCCGAGCTCTTTCTCTTGTTTGAGCATGGAAGAACTTCGTATTACGGTCACCTTCTGCCAAATAAGTCACTCTAGATCGTTGTTTTGCCATTGCTTCTTCCTTTGCCAATAATTCAGAAATTCTCCTCACTAATCTTCTCTCCTCTGCCGAAGGACCCTTGCCCAACGACTCTGCTCTCACCTTCTCAAGCCTTGTACGCATAGCTTTTAGTTGCTTTCTAACAGACCCAAATTCTTCCCTGCTCCAAACTTGCAAATCATCTTTAACTCGCCCTAAGGCCTCAGAAACATCTTGTAAACTGCCATTGATAGGCACCCACGCTTTTTCCACTGTCTGGATATAATTCCCATGCCTGGTCCATGCGTTTTCAAACTTAAAAGGTCTCTGCCTTCTATCTCCACTTGTCCAGTCAGATTTGCTAATACTAATCAGTAATGCACAATGATCAGATTCAGTTGTCTGAATATGTGTGACTGTTGTATTATCAAACAGTTCCATGAAACGGTCGTCACCAAGTCCGCGGTCCAATCTTACTTTGATATTTCGATTACCCTGCTGTCGGTTGTCCCAAGTATATGGGAGTCCCGTGTACCCCAAATCAGTAAACCGGCAGATGTTAACCACATCACGGAATCCTTCCATCATCCACTCCTCTCTGTGTGCTCCACCAAACTGCTCATTGTCATCTAGAACTTCATTAAAATCCCCCACACACAACCAAGGATTGTCATATTCACCTCTAAGGAACACTAGTAGTTCCCAACTTCTCTTCCGTCTTGATCTCACCAGCTCCCCATAGAAGCCCGTGAAACGCCACTCCCTATCCCCTGTGCTTTCATTCTGAATCAAAACATCAATGTGTGTCCTGCTATATGATTTCAGGCTTACCACTGAATCGTTGTTCCAAAACAGCACAAGGCCACCACTCAGGCCCTCGCTCTTGTCACCAAAAGCATGCCTAAACCCCAACCGGAACCTCAAGTCTTGCGCTCTCGTAGCAGACAGTTTGGTCTCCGAGAGAAAAACAAAACACGGGTGATGCAACTGTACCAAGTTGCAGATTTCTTGAACTGTCTCGGGCCGCCCGCAACCCCGACAGTTCAAATTTAAAATATTCATTGTGTCCGGCGGGCACCCTCGAGGGATGCCGCCGATCCTGCTAGAGTTTCGTTTTGAACACTACTGTCTACAGCCTCTCCATCTACTCCCTTTAACTTCTTCTGGGGAGCAGAGCTCGGATCCTTCTCAATATTCCCATCAAACAATCCAGCCATATTGGACACTCTCCTAGAGAAGTCAACAGGAACTAGAGACAGATTTGAATCACGGAGGCTTGGCCAGGGGGTTATTTGTAACCCAAAGGACCGGAATAATATCGGGTTCAGCAACCTGACCCGTTTTTGCGGGTAGCAACCCAACCCGTTAACCGTTAACTAACACAAGTTTTTTTTTTGTGCCTGTGAACCGAGCAAGCACACATGTAGAAAGGCCCAAGCTGGTGGGATCTATGCTGGTCCGACGGGCGACATATCGAACGAATACGCCTTGCCTCAAAAAAAAAAACTTACTATGTTTTGCCTCTTCTCATGTGCGTAATCGGTCGGGATTCCTCCTTGTGTACGGTTGCTGTGACGGTGGACTCCTATATATATATACTCGCCAAGGACCGAACTGAGTACATATACCGGCAGCCGGTAAACCAGAAGCTGATTCGCTTTCCACCCCCAGCCGTGCCTGTAAAATACTAGTACCATCTAGATCGATCGTTCCCGACGATCTGTTAGCAGCAGCCTAATGGGCAGGAACCAAGACGTCAGGTATGATATTCAGTTTTTTACATGAATTTTACCCCGAGGAACATGGTTAATTCCACGAATCGATCTTGGTTCTCCTGCCCTTCATTGTATTTTGAGCATCATTGGATTATAGAAGGCTGATGAAGTATTCCCTCCGTTTCTTTTTTTGTCTGATGTCAACTTCATAATAACTTTAGTATGGTATGCATACGGATATTTTTTAACATAAATTTGGTCAGACAGAATTTCACCAAATTTATATTGAAATATATATCAACATATACTATACTAAAGTTATTATGAAGTTTGACTTCACACAAATCTTATATGCGGAATAAAAGAAAACGGAGGGAATATCATACCTAATAATTCATCCATGTCTCCCGCAAAAATAATTATCCATTCATGTATCATCTATATTGTGCAGTGAAATCCATGTGAGGGAAAAATTCAAGATGCGAAGAAAAAGTTTTAGACTTTGCCGCAGCGACGAGAACGGCACCGCCTCGTTTGGGGACCGACACCGTATGCTCAGGACCACATCGTTGTACCGTGAACAATACAAGCGCATCCTTCTTAGGTCAGCGCTTGGCGACTACAATGAACTCGTGAGGGGCGGTATGCTTACGTGGGAAGCTTATGAAGAGCATCGCCGTGCAATCGATAGCTCAATGGAAATTATCAGGCAAAGTATTCGAAGATACAAAGAACGCCGTTTGCAGGCTGGGCTATTTTACCTGGTGCATGATATAGGTGGAACCGGGATAACTGTTCATACACACTTGTACCGCATGCCTCTCCGGGAAGCGCTAAGGAAACGTCGACAAGAAATCAGAAGGAGGAAACCAGTACTCGATGCTTCCAACAATTCAAAGAAATCGAATATCTTTGACACAATGGTGCTGAGACCATCTTTGAAAAGGTTGGTCATGTGTACCTTATCTTCCATTATAATAGGTTGTGTTATAGTTTTCTATGAAAGGTCATGAATAGTATGGAGTTTTTTTTGTGAACTTGTGCTATAGGGTTTTTGCTCCCCTTCTTTAGAGATGGTCTCTACTAATGCATAATAAAAGACAGATTTGTTCAATGTACGGGATGTGTTAATCGTTTCATCATTTTTAGAAGCGTGCAAACTTTAATTATTATACTTGATGTAAGAAAAAGTGTCATGTAACACGTTATTGTCCGCTCTAAATGAACTCTATAACTGAAGGGTGATGTGTGCATATTCCTACGTGGATTCAGTTTTAGTCAAACACGCTAATATCGAGAGGATTTGTTGTCCACGGTTTTATTCTGAGCTAACCTGCTTGTACTTGAAGGTTCACTCTAATTAGCAAACCGATATAAACATTTGCAACAACCATTTGCAATTGAGGTTTCCTCTTGCAGTGCGCAACCACTCTCACCCTCAATAGAAACTTGTATAAATACCCATCAACTAGTGAGAATCTTGTTAGTTGATTTCAATCACTATTACTCGTCACACGTTATCAGCATTGCATCTGCCGAGCAACATCAAAGTGAAATAAGGAGAAAAGAAATGTTAAAAGAATTCAATGGATGAATCCACACACTCTTGTCTTCACCTTTGTTTGATTTCTTCACTTGGGGAGCCATTAATCTGTCTTTGCTAGGCGACGCCACCATGATGGCATTCATCGTTGTCATGGTCCAAGCAGCCACTCTCATCGCCGCTTCTTTGCCTTGTATTGTTGTCGCCGATGGGAATGCCCACTGTGGTGCTCAAGTCTGCGCAGAACGAGTGCCCAGACCGTCGCCTCGAACAGCGTCGAACCAGCCGCTCCGAACTTCACCACTCCTCCATTGGGCTGGCTCCTCATTGGTTTGATGGAACCATTCCCCGAGAACTGTATCCATAGAAATCAAATAACACCCGTAGGGAAGAAAACGTCGATCACAATCCTATAAAAATCTTATGAATCAAAGCAGCCATTAGGAGTAGTGTTGAGTATATATTATTTGTGTAACGAGTACATATTTTACTCCTTTTGCACAGACTCATCGGCAAAAATGCAAATTGATGAAACCAAAAAGCCCTACAAAAAAACAAGTTGGAACCAAGAAATATAGTCGATCATATCGAACGAAAAACTAAAAATAGTTGAAAAGAGTCATGGTCATGGGGGAGGACCAGATCCAAGAAAGGACAACCCCTACGCTAGGTAAACGGGGAAGGAAAAGACTGGGAAAGGCGAGGGAAAAGGTTCCTTTCTTTTCAGTCAAGAGAAAGCCAAAAAGAAAAGCGTCGGGTCCGCTTTCTATGCCGTCTGCTCCCTCCGTTACGGCCGTTACCCAACCTGCGAAACTACCACCAGGTCGGTGGGCGCCTCGTGACTTCGTGAGTAGTCATTAATAACCAGCATAAAGAGAAGGAGCGAAGGCTTAATTAATTGTTGGAATATTTGTCGAAGTAGTAGTACGAGAGGAAAAGACAAGAAGGCAGTTAATCAATGCTTTGGACCCCACAGCCACAAGTCCGGTGCCATCCGTTGGTATGTGGGCCTGTGCCTACAGCAAGAGACGTGCCCCTTCTGTGCCAGTCTCCTCGTGTGGCCCTCTGTGGCAGGACGCTGCAAAACATCATCTGGTGGTACTGCACGCACCCAGTCAATGTGGCATAAACCTAGCGATAGAGTGGGTGGTCCAGCGCTAGTTTGGGTGACCAGAGAGCACGCCGTAAGACTAGTCACAGTGGAAGTAACTTCAGCAATAACTTGGAGTCCAACTCAGCAAATTTGTTTATGTGGCAGTGAGTTAATGAAGAGAGAGGTAGTTGTAGTAACTTAGCTAGTTACTGTAACATCACATGTTCTAATGCAATATGAGTCTATAACCTAATAAATGAATATTTGCATGTTATCACATTTAAGTTACTACCCACTATGAAGGTAATAACATAGTCTAGAAATATGTATATGTTACTAGTGTATGTTACTATCCATTGTGGCTAGTCTAAGTGATGTGATCGTCCTTCCTGGCTTCATCCCAGTTTATCATGCATCTTTATATTTAATAACTAATATATAGAATATAGAAACTGTATGACTTCAAAAGGCTCTTTCAGATACAAATCCAATAACGTATTTCACATATATTTTTATTATTTGTTTATTATATAGATGGTCAAAGTCTTGCCTCAAATACAAGCAGCTCTCATGGAGGGGGTTGACCTCGCTCTTGCACGGAGTTCAGAGAACCTTATTGTTGAGTCGGACTGCGCTATGCTAGTTCGCATGTTCAAGGAATCTGAGGTGAACAGATCGTAGATAGCAGCAATTCTTGCTAGTACTAAGAGCATCTCCAGCCGCGCCTTCAACAGGCTCTTTCCAGGCGTTTTTGCCGCGCCGGCGTCAAAAAAACGGACCAGTCGCGCCCTTAGAAGTCCGTTTTTCGCTGGCTCGGGTCGAAACTAACGCCGGCGGACCCAGGCCGAACCCGGCTTCCTGGGGTCGCCTAGGGCGCCGGCACAAGCGAAAAGGACGCGTGGGTCCGCCCTGTCGGCGAGGCGAGCGTCTCTTCTCGCTGTTTCTTCCTGCGTTTTCCCCACTCCCCCCGTCCTCTTCCTTCCTCCCGTCAATCTCCCTCCCGC